TTAACGTTATAACGAATTTGTTCATCATTCACAGCGTTCAGGTTGTTAACGTTCGACAAAATTTCTTTAACGCTTTTTTCGATTTGCTGACTGTTATATTCGCTTTTTTCGAATCTTTTGGCGAGTTTCACGGTCGTCTATGTCAAATTAAATAAAGAACCTTGCAGTGTGGAGAATTGTTCAGAAAAGACATTTATTGTGTTTTGTAACTGGTCTACACGAGAAGATAATTTCGCGTTTTGTACTGAATTGAAAACTTCGATACCTCCAGCAACAAGAGCTTCTAATGCGCCGATTGCTCCAATTATAAGTGGTATCAAACGTTTCTGCCTGTGGTTTCGAGCTGACGTCGAATGGATAGATGGATGAAGTGTTATAGTACGCCGGCTATGGTGATGCGATTCAATAGTTTCTATAATTTTCGTTGCATATTGTTGACACATGGCCAGTTTATTAGATAGATCGATTGATAACAGCGGACACATATGTCCGGTGTTTGGAACAGACATCGAGTATGCAAAAATATCGTCGACTTCAAAATAAATACCTTTTTTCGTCATAATAACGCCCGAATTTTCATCGACGATCAACGGTTCTCCACGTATAATGTTATAAAAAATACTATCTTTTTGTCCAGCCACCGAATGATATGAAATTATCATTATTAGTATGCAAATAGTAATATACAAGTGTCTCATAATGAATGACTTATGTTTATGTACTGATAGATTATGTGCATGTATAGATGAATGCATGCAATAGAGCAGAAGACTCCTTATATACTTGGAAAAATAACAACTGACAGTTGAAAAAGTTGTTTGTTCACATTTTAAAACAGTCAATTATTGGCCCGCAACAGTGCCTACTTTCTTAATAGGATGTAACACGCAGGAAAAAAAATTATTATTCTGTAAATGATGCAACGGCAAGAATATGTTAATCACAACGAATATGCTATAGACTGCATTTTTTCTTTTGCCGATTTCGAGAGAATTTTTTTTCTCAACTTTTTTTAAAACAGCATGTTCCAGATATAGTAGAAGCAACTGATGCGAAAATATTGTCCTCGAAGATGGCATGTCTAACCTACTTTATTTAGTGTCGGACACAATTAAACTTACTCAGTGGATTCTTTTTTTTTTATTAGCTTGCAAAGTACTAGGGTATGAACACCATAGGAAAAGTATTCGTCTAATATTCTCTTATGCACATATATCATCGTCCAAAAGGAGTGTCACATAGACAACTCGACGAACTCTAGCGATTGATATATAATATCTCATTTAACAGTATGGGATTATCAAAATTAGTCCTTTAAAGTTTTTCAAAACTTTAAACTAACTTGGTGTTACTCAGCTCAATGTCCTCTAACCAATCATGTATAAATATATCAAAAAAAAGTCACGGAAACTTCGAATGACGGCATCTTAAAAATACATTTTCATTTCGTCTATTTAAATAGAACTAATTATGTATAAGAACCTTTGATAGAAAAGCTATATAATATCGCCGCACGTTGAAAAGGGCGGAAAAGAATTGCGTTATTCTTTCATCTCATATCTAATATAGACAGAAATATGGAACAACAATAAGGAAAAGCAAACAGCTATTAATCAAAGCGTTTCAGGAACTTCTTGTAGTGGAGAATACCATTAATATCAATATATACTATGTGTGAATTCTATATGTACGATAAGATTTTTTGTCGAGATTACATTAGCTGAAAAAGTGTTTTCAGCTTTTGAGCACAACACTGTGGTTACTGTACTTGTCAAAGTGAAATTAACAGCTGACATATGTTATTTGTTTGATGATTAAAGATATTATAATATATTTTGTTATATACCATTAAATAGATGAAATCAGTAGCATTGTCGTATAGGTAGTACGTTTGATTGAAATGTATACCAATAGTTTTTGTAGTCAACTGACTAATAGATTTCTTTAGTTGTCCTATATAAGAAACTCCTTGTCTTCTTGCTTACATTTTGCACATCAACAATTAAGTACACATACAAGCTGTAAAGAAATCTGTTTAGCTTAAATACGGTAAAATTTAATGTTCGAAAAAATTAAATCAAAATTTAGTAGAAAGACAGGAGATACAAATACCCGTTGGGCTTCAGTTGGTGGTATCGATGGCTTTTTAGGTGGAGTAGGGAGTTTAGGAGAAGGTTATAACGATCTAGACCGCGACAATATCGGATTTAGACGTACAGATTCAATATGGGGTAAGTTGGCTCTTGCACTAAACGTGGATAATAGCGAAGATGTAAGGAAATAGTTATATACAGCATGGCGATATGACAGACGCGAAGTAAGATCCAAATTTTTGAATTCATCCAGCAACGTACGTGCTGAGGCCGTACTGAATCCGAAAGATTTAAATGGTTATGTCCCGACAGTTTCTATGGTAAGTAATCCATCAGTAGAAAAGATGGAAACGCGAACAGCTTCGGACAAGAAAGTTTCCGAGATATCTGAAGTTACAAAAGCATTTACCATGTCCTACGAAGAGTGGAAACAAATATATCACAGGAAGCAGCACAAACTTATGAATGGGTGGACCAACGTAGTTTATGAGAAAATGTTAGATAGTGGACTAACTTGTCCGTTAACATTTAAATATAATCACTTAAAAGTGCAAAATTCGAAAACAAAGCTTGCACCGTTTTTCTTCTGTACAGCCAAATGCATATTATTGGAGTGCGATGTCTGTTGTTCCGTAACTCTGGAGCAACCTCCAGATAAAAGCAGGCATGTAGTTTTTCGAATGAGGGTTTTAGGTAAAGAAAATCATAACAGAAAAGAAGAGACAGGTGCTCGCCCAATAACTGGTACAGATAGAATACAAACGGGTAAGAATCAGTGTTATTCAAAATTTCGCGCGGAATTATTATTATCGTCTGTATAAATGTGCTTTAGGCGAACGAGCTGCTGAAGTCGGAGCTTTGCGAGTATTCGAAGAAAATGTCGACAAAGCTGATACCAATTTGTTACAAGCTGGCAACTTTACTGCCTGTCCAACAATGACAGCAATAAAAAAAATGGCTGCTGAATATAGAGAGAAACACCAGCTTGATCTAGATTATTACAATGAAATAAGACTATTATCAAATGCACTGGAAGCTGCGGACATCTGAAAAACTGATCGGTGAGAAAATAACTTATTATAAGGCGCTCCAAATTCGAAGTTATATTACTAATTTATTTTTGGCTTAATCATACATCATTCGATAGAAAATGTCACGCTGGCCAAGAATATGCTGAATCAGGATGAAAAACTGAGTCGACTGATGCGTGTTTCGAAACTTTTAGTTCATTTTCATTTTTTGGCGAAAATCTCGATGGTTTTTCAACGTGAAAATTGAAAAAATTTAAAGTACTCGTATAGGACATGCACATTAGTTGATCCAGTTATTGATCCTGATTCCGAATATGATATTTCTATTATATATAGATATATCTCTTAACGAAAAAAAGTAGATAGATTTGCAAAATGAGTATGGTGAAATTGAAGATCCCTCGGCTTCGTTTGTCGCATGAAGACTTCTTTTCGTTCTGGAACCTTGACATATAGTTTCCTGTATACAGTTTTTAATGCTGAATAAGAAAAACATACTTTCACGGCTTCGAAATGAGGTGGAAGCATTTGGAAGTGGAAGTTATTTAGTTTTTAAAAAAGATTAGTGATTTTCGAACGAAGAGATCCTTCAAGTTTTTTGAATTTTTTTCACTGATAATGTGCTCTGGGAAGACTAAAAACCAGATATTCTTGACCAGCGTGACATTCTCTATCGAATGATGTATGATTAAGCCAAAAATAAAGTAGTGCTATAACTTCGAATTTGGAGCGCCTTACTTACCGTAATTCTACATTATTTATCGTATAGGTTTCATTCAAAACAGTGGTGAT